ACCGACTAACAGGCTAACTTGATCATTTCATTTAGAGTTGGTCCTGTTTCATGAAGTTTGTTATTGAAATTATAATACGAAGCCCCCCTGAACCAAACAAAGCAGTAATTTAAATGTAAAACAAATGTTTTCCAAACATAAACTCATTGCGTACTTATTTCTAATATAAATCATAATTTTTCCAGAAGGATTTTCCTAATCTTAAACACAGCTTAATTGTAGCATTGGCACATCATATTCTCAATTCTCGTTCTTTTGTTTTGCATTTTTCCATTTTTCGGATAAGACTTTTTTTTTTCTTTTTTTTACTAATGCAACATCAGTGGTGGCTTCCCAAAAGAGCCCACCCAAGGAATACACATGGAAATCAGCTTTCAGCTGTACCTAGCACAATACTTGTATTGTGCATTGTCACTTTTTAATATCTAATAATCAGTGATTAAAAAATTCTATAGAGATTTGCAATAGCATTGCAATATATACACAAATGTTGCAGCGTTTGCCATTAAATGAAAATTGCTTCTAGGTGGACCAGTGATGTATGAGGATCATGGACAAAAAAAAGGGAAAGAAAGACGATGAAATGTGTTTTTATTCATTATGTTTTTCAAGCCAAACCTTTAAAGACATTTTTAGTTCTATATAGAATTGGTGTAATTTTGGGATGGAAGTTGTATTGTGTCCTTGATGGTGTGGAGGGCAAAATTACCAACCCTACTTAAACAGGAGCAGAGAAAAAGCCCGCAAAGATACTGTACAGTCATTTTGAGGTCTGTGCTGACTGCATTCCAAGCTGGCAGCGCCTCTTCCCTCGGGATGCCCATTTACACTTTCTCATTTTCAATGCTGGTGTCCACTCCATCAAGTGTTTTCTTAACATCTATTCTTGACAATTTTCTCATGGAGCATCGTATAGAGTTACTGCAGCGGAGAGAAACCTACTGTTTCTCCTATTGAGACATTCTTAGCAGCTAGGCATTATAGAGTGGAAACTTTCCACATGGTGCTACATGTTGAGTGACAGGCCAAACAAACAAACAATGAGAACTGTTTAGCTTTTACAGACATGTGCACCTAATTATGGTAGACGTATCCTCCAGGACTAATGAGATAAACAATTCCACTCCGCCCACAACATCCTAAAATCTGAATCGATCATTTCTTATTTAACCTCGTTTTAATTGGCAGCAATTAACAGATCTCTGGCTCTGGAAGAAAGCCCACTGGAGTGCCCTTCTTGGTGTCTCTTATACATAGAAACATAACTCCTCCTTGGCATCTCCTTCCTGGGGAGGAGGACTAATATCCGCCCCATTAGCTGGCGGGCCGCTCTGATGGGCCCATTCCCTTGCTTTAATCAGGCCGGGCCCTGCTGCTCTTAATACGGGTGACGTGACGCTGTTGCTTTCTCATTCACAACAGCTGCTCAACTCCCAGAGCCAGGCTTATGCAAATCTCCTTTGTTGGAGACCATCAAATCTTTTCCCTCCTCTCTCTGTTTCAATAGACAGAGGGGGAGTGTGAGGAAAAAAAAATACTATCGAAGCATTGATAGAGGCTTTTTTATCCCACTTTCTCCCATTTTGTTTTAGTTAGACTGCGCTCTATGCAGTAATTCCGTCTTTTTCAAATACACGCACCCATTCTCCCTCAAATTCCTCCTTCGTGTCTTTCTGCATGTCTTTCCCTCGCACTTTACCCCTCCCTTGCTCACTTTTGCTTAGGTCTATCCCCGGCCCGTCTCTCTCGTCCAACCTCTATGTCAGTCTCAAATTCAAATTCAAACAGCTTCATTGGCATGACAAGAGAGGGTCTCGCCTCAGCTCATTCTCCAAGTCTGCCCCCTCACATAGCTATGCGCCCTGTCCCAGTAACCTCTGGTCTGGTTTGGAGTACGGACTGTGTGATGTTGAGGAGGGGCAGCTGAAGCTTGTGTGCTGGGTCAGATCTGTGGACAGCCACACTATGAGCATGTCAGCATCCCTCTCGTGTGAGGGACAGCTCTGACAGGGTTTCTGTTTGGAGTTACACAGACTACCACTGTCCTTTGATCCCGGAGCGCTTCTGCTTGTGCTTGTGACATGTGTGTGTCAGAAAGCTCATATCTGACGCCAAAACGTTTTCCATTCATGTCTGTGTATTATGTGCAAGTAATTGGCAAGTTCATATATCACAGCTTCAGTACCATACATACTTGTGCAAGGCATCTGGAGAGGATCTGAGTCGGTGCGATAGTATCCATTTCGGCAAACGCAGTTAATAGCACCTTCACTGGTGGTACGGCTGTTGATGGGACACTGCATACAGGGCTCATCTCCTTGAGTCGGCTTGAAAAAGCCTGACAGACAGGCTAAAAGAGAGAAGAGAAGAATTTTTAAAATCACAAGCAGCTGATTTTCAAAAAGCAGACTGTGAATGTGAATACATTTTTGTATGACTGAAGTACTAGGTTTCTATAATACTATACTCATCATTGTGGCAGTCTTAAAAAGGGTAGCCATGTAATTCCCTGTATATATGCATCCACTGCCAATGCATAGTTCATATTGTGTTATAAAAGAAAATCCATCAAGTTACCAGAAATCAAATTTAAAAACAAAAACATACACACCATAAATCAAACAAAGATATATCAGAGCAACCCTGAATATAAACACACACTCTTGCATGCCTCTGCAGATATGGCTACATGTAAGTTTGCTCTGAATTATTCACCACGCTGTAGTTGCCTGAGAAATCTCTGAAGTGCTCCGCTTCCTGTTAAGATCCCTTTTAAGGGCCTCTTTCTGGAAACATGGGAGGAAAGTTACATTCATCACAGAGACCGTGATGAACACACACACGGCTCAGCCATTAAATGTTTTATCTGTGCATCTGACTTTGTGTGGGTGAATCACAGGCTCTACCACTGGGTACATCTGTTTGCGTGTTGCCACAAGCGCCACTCATTGCTGCGATAAACAAACTAACTTAGCTGTCTATGAAATCCCCTTATCCTCCCCTTTCCAGTCACATTCCACCTAAACCTTCACTGCTTAAAAAATAAATAAATAAATAAATAAAAATAAATAGCCTTTTTTTCAGCATTTGCACCTGCACCATGTCGAGAGATTTTCTCGTATCTCGGGCCAAAAAAGCTACGGTTTTGCTTCAGGTAATCCAGCTCCCACCTGCCCCTCCGATAAAAGAATATAGAGGTGTTGAGACGGAGACATGAAATAGTAACATGAAAAATTTACACACGGGACACACTGCATATCGGTACGTTAAAAGCCCTCGGGTCTTTCGGTGCTTTTTCTGGGTAGAAAGCAAAATGGATTTAGTGCGATGAAAAGAAACAAAAGACAGAAGATGAATGCTTCCTTGCATATTTCTTTTATTTGAAAATTTAAAACTGTTGATTTATATAGGGCTCCTTTTTTAAAATGCACTTCAAACAATTCCTCTTCCTCATTAAGAAAACAAGTTATCCAATTTTCTACTAGTATTAAAAGCCTTACTATTACACGACTGCCATTTCTACACTGTAAAGTTATAAAAACACAGCCATTATTTCATTCTGAGACTATACTGGCAATTACAGCTCCACTGTAGCATCTGGAATGTGGAAATATCAGCAGCTGCAACTCCCATTTAAAGGAGGTCATTTCACAAGGCAGAATTAGTCCGGATCCAATCCCAATGTTTAGATTATGCAGACACCAGTGTACTCATAGACCATACAGGCCACAGATTAATGGCCTTTTTCCCTTTTGGAACTCGACATACATTTCTCAGAGCCATCACCTTCGACCACCATGAAGAACAATTCTCTGTAGTTCAACAAATCATAATAGTTTAGCCGTATCACCTACAGACAGTAGAGTAAAACATGCGCTACTACTTTACGAGGGGACACTTTAAAAGAAGCTTCATTAATACAGTTTACCGTGAAAGCTAGTTTCATTAAAACTAACAAGAAACAGAAGAAATCATTTCTTTCAGTCACTGAAAAAGTTACGCCTTAAAGACAAAAAGTACAAACAAACAAAAAACAGTGTTTTGTTACTGAATAGCACAAACACCAGAATGGCAGAAAATTATTCCTGAACAAAACAGGGAGACAATCTTAAACATCTCCTCACTCAGTATTAGCTTTGACATGTTTTTCTACCACCGTGATTGATGGCTGAAAAATGTTTCGGGGTACAGCGTGAAACATGAGGCCTGGACATTCACCCTGCCAGTCAACGGGGTCTGTGAATGAGGCCCGGGCAACAGCTATGCGGGGAATTGCGATCGAACTTCAGCGGCGCAGTGAGGTCTATGAGAGCGAGGCGCTCTGAGGAGCAACACCAAAGGAAAAGGCATAAAGAGGTAGTCGGGGTGGGGGCGTAAGGACAGAAACAAAGAAAGGAGAGGGGCGATGTGGGGAATGGCTGTGTTTGGAGGGTTTTCAGCCAAGGATTCGAGTGCATCACTGGGCCCACAGTGAACGTACAGTATGTGCTGTAACAGTATGCAGACGGTGCATAACAATCAGAACAATGACTTGCGGAGAAAAATGGAAGTATTTAAATGATTAGCACTTATAAAGCCACATGATGCCATGCTACCACAGTGGTTGCATTTAAATACTCTGTGGCAGCTGTTGGATGGCAAAATGGTAGTTAATTCTTATTTTCCCACCAAGTCCCAAACCATCAAACATCTTTTTTTTGTTTTACTGTCTACTGTAAGCACATTCAATTAGGCGTGGAAAAAGTTTAAAAAAGCATTCTTTGTTCATCAATTTTCAAACATTTCTACACACTTACAAGTTCCTGTAACACCACAAAAGGTCAAACTGTAACCAATCACATGAGAGCAGAACAAAACTCATCATGGGCAAGTAAATAACATTTCCACTTCGAGTGACTACCTACAACAGCGTTGCTCACTGTGTTAACACCTATTCAAGTTACAAGGAGAAATGTCTGTAAAAAACATCCTATGCCATTTCAAGAGGACACTGAATTATATGTCTTGGCTTTCCTGTGTGCTTCACCAGGGCCATTATTTTGGGGAAATATTTAGGGAATTTCCATTTTACTCTCGGATGACAGATTTTAAGAGTTGCATAGTTGTCTGGTGTCAGATGTAGAGAAGCAGAGACACGGAGAGCAGTGATTAAAAATCAGATCAGAGCTTTAATTCCCTACCTCCCTGCCTGCCCGGATTGCTGCTGCCGAGCTGTTTGATCATCATGCTGGCAGTCTTGTTCAACATGTGAGAACTAAAGGCTGTTATTTTGGATGCTCCTTCAAACTTCAGATATCCTTCT